AAGAGTGGAGGAGATAGGTCTGTTGGTGCTGCTTACTAAGCTTTGGGGTTCTCGGTGATGTGGCATTGCAGCTGCAATCCACATGTCTGGAAATTGCTGCTGTCTTCACTGCCCCCCTCACCCCACTGGTTCTCCTGGTGAGTCCAGCACTGCCAGCTCTTATATCTGCCAGAGTCGCTGTCAGCTCACAAGTCCCCAGAGGAGATGGTGCCCATTTCTCTTCTACCTCCCAATCTCATAGGAATTTATCTCATGCGTGGAAGCTAAATCATATCTCAGATCCTTCCCATTGGTAAGTATTGACAAGTATATTTTTGAGCCTTCCAGCTTCTTTGTAAAGAATATGTAAAAGTGTAGAAGAGAGAATGTAGGGTAAGTGTGACTAGACGCTGACTAGTACTATAAACACTGTTAAGTGTGTCAAAGGAAGAGAAAACAGTCAATATCTAATGAATGCGTGTGCTGTCTTTTGGAAGCAGAGGACATTCCCCTTCCTTTTGCATTGTTGCTGAGTTAGGGGTTAAAACTTGACCATCCTTGTTCCAAATCTCACCCGCCGTCTTGTTGTTCATCATTCTGATAAACGAAATCTGAAGACCGTTAGACAGGACTTGCATTCCTTAGGCGAGACGGTGGCAGTGTCATTACGAGCGTGGCCTCTGGAACCCAGCGGCTTGGGATTGAATCCCAACTTTGTCACTTATTGGGTCTGTGACCTTAGACTAGCTGCCTAACTTTTCTGTGCCTTAGTTTTATATTCTATAACATAGTTTAGTTCAAAAAAATTGTTTAAGGTAACTTCATCATAGGGTTATTATGAGTTAACACCAAGCACTTTAGAATATACTCAGTACTCAGTCCAGTTTAGCTGTGATGATTCATTCTCCTCATTTCTCTGGTAGTCTTGGCTCATTTCTGTTACCTGCTTGGTCTTTTTTGGTATTTGTGCGTGTGTGTGCCACTTCTAGATAAAGACATTGATTGGTTTCACCCTGGGTACTTAATTTATTCCATCTCATCCCTCCTCTGTATTTTATGTTTGTGGAAAGGCAGCATATGTACTGCAACCAGTTGTCAGTGACACAAAAGGAGAATAATTGTTGATACTTAACAGACTACACGTTGCAACAGAGATCTTCAGCCTTTGGTTAGGCGTGAGTTGATTTGTCAACTGCTCAGATCCCCCCCCCAAATTCTCCCTGTTTTGTCAACCATGTAGTTATTTGGGGTCTTCCGTATAACCTCTGGGTTATAGCCAAGAAGGGAATCAGACTCATGCCTTGTTGGTTACGTGACCTGCATATTTAGGCCCTGAATCCAGACTCTCCAACCAGCCTCTTTGTGTGACTCAGTTTTATAGCTTCTGCAGGATGCTGGAGCTGAACTCAATTTAGCCTCTGGGTCTCTGAGTCACCTAGGTAATGCAGACATTCTTCTAGTTTTCCTTAACACAGAAGTGATATTTGGGGTGGAATGGGCTGGGAATGACTGTTGCAGGCTGGTCTTGACTGGAGCCAGGAGCAGGCATGGAATTGTAGCAGGGAGTTGAGATCACAGGTATCTGCTAAATATCTGTACAACCATTAGTAAACTTCCATTTCTCACCTTCTGCCGGGACACCTTCTCCTTATCACTAGACTGGGAACCAGAAGCTTTTACCTAGAAAGTGGTTACATTTCTGACCCAAAGGCACATAGAGGAAAATGAGAAGTAAAATAACTTCTTCTCTCCCCTTTTGTCCCCTGTTATGTACAGGGGTATGATAAGTGTTGGAAACTGCTACCCTGGACCATTATACCTGCTGGGTGCCTCATGTTATGTTAATGCCTCCCATACATGCTTTCCCTCTATTGTGCTCACAGTAAACCTATTAGGAAGGCTGAAATGACCTCAAGGAATTTTCTGTGGTTTTCTAACCTGTAGAAATGGAGTGTGGATATGCTATCAAAACACTTTTAAAATTTAGACTGTCCTCAACAAATGTAATGGGGACTGTTCATGACCTTAGACAGAGTGAACGACCCAGTCCTGAAGGAGGAGGGATGGTAGAGGGATATGGGATGTGTCCACGTGTCCGTGAATAGGAGGTGAGAGGGAAAAAGTGTCAAAAGCACAAGTGTGAGGGCTTTATCTTGGCATCAAGGAAGGGCTTCTTTTTCCCCTCAGAAATGGCAGCAGATGAATGGGGTAGGACTCAGGGATGGGGGATAAAGATGCAGAGGTTATAAGGCATTAGATTAGGCAGAGATTATAAGGATAGAGAAGGGTCTCTTCCTAAGAAAAGAGGAACTAAGGTAATTTGTTCAAGCAGAAAGGCAGGAGGAATGGGAGTTGGGGGCATTAAGAAATGTGATTAGTTACAAGCCAACAATGAATTAGATCAATTTGATTAATATTATTAGTAACACTCTTTGAGCACATAGTAAGCCAGGCTCTATACACAGATCACTTTATGTGTTTTCCCTCATTTACTTCTCCTGAAAAGAAAGAAAATATTGTTATCCCCATTTCTTAAATAAGGTGAATTAGGCTCCAAGTTTTGTGCAAGATTATACAAGTCGTAGTTGGTGGAACCGAGCCTCAAACACAGGTCTCCAAAGAAAGCAACATTTTTAATATGGCCTGGAGCGAAATTTGTTACAAGATGGAATGGAGCAAGAAAACACTGGAGGTTAACATGGTTCAGGGACTAGCGATCTGGATATTTCAGATGAAGGGGGTGAGAAGTTGTAGAATGATGGCAAAGGGAGGTAGTTAAGCAGGTAAAAACAGGGGGAAAGACTGAGAGGAACAGAGATGAAGATGAAGCCAGAGAACAGGTTCTATGTAGAGTAGAAACCATTTTTAAAATGTATAATATGCTTAACAAGGATTTCTTCAAGCAGAATACAGTTGACCTATGATGGAAACATAGTGTAAGATAGAAATAAAGAGTTGGGGTCTTAGGCACTGAGAATTCGGAGCTGTTTGTTACTTCAGCACAGCAGAGTGTATCCTTGCTAACACAAATAGTTGTCAGATTTTGATGTGAGCCAGAATTACCTAGGTATCATGTTCAAATGCCGTGGCCCTTGTCCTATTCCCCAAAATTCTGATTTGGAAACTGGACTGAGCCCAACAAAAGAAATTTTTAATAACCTCCCTGGGTACATCATACCTATTAGATTTCAAGGACCAGGGGGTCATTCTACCTTGATTAAAATGAGGTACACTTGTGAGTTTTAAAGGACAGTGTGTTAGAGAAAAGTTGCCCTTAAGTTGCCCTTTCTTTCTGGCGTGAAGCAGCCCCACACCAGGGTACAAATCTTGGCAAGAAGATTGTAGGCTAGATTTCAGCTCCCCTGGGCCCTCGTGGATGTGCAGGGCAGAAACAGCCCTCTTGAAGAGGTTGTTAAATTGTATTTTCTTCATCTAAGAAGGTAAACTTTGAAAAATTATCAGTGTATGTAATATTCTGATATTTGTACCAAATGGACACATAACTAACATGAACTGAGAAACTATGTCAAAGCTTTATCATTAGAATTACAGTGAGATTCTTGACTAGCAATACCAGGTAGTATTGATTAGCAAATAATTCAGTGATTGGTGGAGAGGTAAGGGGACCACTTTGTCTATAATCAAAGAGCAGAACCATGTTTGACTTTACTACGGTTTTAATTGGTTTTCTGTAACTCGAACTTTTCAGCAGCCTATATGAGTTTTATGTTAAGAAACTAAATTACTTAAGATTTTCTCGCCCTCCCCACAAGGAAGACATTGTTTATTTCAATTAAATAGCACACTGCTGTGAATATATCTCAGATTTAATGGAACTTTATTTTTAAAGAAAATACTTGAATAGTTATGCTAACAATACATACGCATAGGGTAAAGGTATAATTCATTTTTTAAAAATTCATATAGTAAACTCAATTACAAATTGTCAAAAAGAGAACAAATAATAAAAAGCCAGCACCACATGATTTGCAAAAAGAAGTACTGGTCTGCCATCTGCTGTTCAGATAAGTCACAGAGTTCAGTTTTTGTCACATCTTAAAGTGCATTCTATGTGGGAGGTGGAAGGATGGAGAAAAGAGAAAGTTGTCCAAAATAGAGATTGCCAGACTTCATCTCAGATATTGAGGTTCTGTAGAACTGGGGTGTGATTCAGGAATCTGCCTTTGTAAGAAGCACCCAAGTTGATCCTATGTAGGTGGTTCCCTAAACATACCTTAAGAATTACTCAAATTTATCTTAGCTATCGTGAGGTAGGTACACTCTTCAGACACACCAGGCAAGATGGTTCCATCACTGACCCATGAATCACAGATGGTTGGATTTGGTAATTTAAAAACCAGCCAACCAACCTGATCCCTTTCATGGCTTGTAGACATTTGTGTGCTTGAATAATACTTTCCAGTTTTCAAGTATGGCATTCTCTAATAAAATTTGCATTATGGGACAGGTTTTGTTTTTTTTTAATTCTTCCTTAAATTGCTTTCTATGGGGAATATTTAGTTTTGAAAGGATTACATTTCTATTGTTTCTGTTTGTTTCATCCTCATCATAGACTCACTTTTTTCCTGGTAGGATAATTATTGATGGAGCTAATTTGACTGTATCTAATGTCACCATAGAAGACCAAGGTGTATACTCGTGTTCAGCTCACACTGCTCTAGATAGCACTGCTGCTATGACTCAAGTAACTGTCCTTGGTAAGTGCACTAATGAATAAAGAAATCTTTGTTCATTTCTTTTCCATTACTGATTAAATTCCACTGTTCTTAGGCAATTAAACCAATGATTATTTAAGCCCATGCACATTTATTGTTAGTTTGAAATTTTCAATTAAAGAGTGACCCTACTTTCGAATGCTTTCGCCTCTTCTGGTTCTAAAGAAGTCAATTGATGCTTAACTTCTTTTTTCTACTTGGGTAATGTTGCCAGAAGCAGTGGGAGGTAGGTGATGCTATCAGCAGAAAGAAAACTGAATCATGCTTGAGTTCCCAGGACCCTTGAGCTACACTTTGCTAGTGCACAGAGAAATGTGGCTAAGGAATGGAGACGGGCTAGCATGGAGGGGTCACGGTAGGGGCCCAGTGGTGATTAAACACTGGCCCTGCCCTAAACCAGTGGCCTAGACCGAGCTCAGCTCCCAGGGTCCCAGGAATGGGGGGAGGGAGGGACTTCAAGGGTTCTTCTGCAAAGAAAGCCCTCTGATTTTTTAAAATAATAATGCTAATTAGAAAACAATGTGCACAACTCACTGGTGTAATCAATGCAATTACCCCTGCAGTTACCCATGTTGATAGCTCTTAGACCGTCTGTTGGATAGCTCTCCTAGTTTCCCTTCCATATTCACCATCCACCAGCTCTCTGAATCTGGAAACCTGACCTGTGTGGACACCAACAAACCACCTACCCTCAAGCTTTCATTCGGTTCAGCCAACGGGGAGCCCTGGCAGCAGAGGCAGTGGGGGGAGAGTGTGTTTTTTCTGGATAATCCCTCCCTGCAGGCTGGCTGTGTGTGTCCCTCTGCCAAAGTCACTGATTCTCTCAGAGGCTTTGTCCACACAGCTCTCTCTGATGGGATTCCAGTAACTGCCCTGCCCACCCCTCACCCCCCACCCTGGATATCCCGCTCACATCTTTTGAAAGAGTCTTGATTAGAATCTCTTTGAAGTACCCTAACTTGTGTGAACTGCTTACTCTCTGCTGTGCTGGGACCCTGACTGAGAAAGACATTTTTACAGTTTTCTCTCATAGTTCTGTTTCAGTGGGCACCATTTAGTTTTCCTTGAGTTTGCTGATAGTTCTTAGAAGAGGTTTGATTTGGCCTAAACACTTTTACCAGATGTCTAGATTAATCCTGATTATTAACAGGTATTTGTATCTTTAGCACTTTGGTTGCTGGGATCCACAGGTAGGTTGCCTACCATGGGTACAGACTGAGAGGAAAGAATTCAGTCTCTTTTGAGGTAGGCTGGTGAAAAATGAGTAAATAGGCAGGTTCTCTCCTAGTGAAGCAAATGGCCACTATATTTTAAGTGAGATAAATGACCACCATCTTTCAAGCGAAGCAAATGGCCACCATGTTGGGTTTTCAAAAAAAAAAAAAAAAAAACGTAGTTCCCAGGTGGTAGGTGGTATGGACTTGGTTCAAAAGAATGAAACCTTTAGGTGATACGTTTCAGCTACCTCAGGGGCAGAAAGGTTCAATCCTTAGTAATCATTCCAGTAGTAATTCTCCAGACAAAATAGTTGAACCTAAGGTAAACTGGAGTTTATCCCAGGCATGACGATTTTAAGTGTAAATGTCAGGATCCATGGCCTTTGCCCCCGAGTATTTTGAGCAATGGCAAGGAGACTGGGGTCCCTACCTCTTGGTAACATGCCATCTAAATTTTCTTGTGAAATTTAATACATCTGTCTAGTAATGAGGCTGCCATCTTCTAGAACTGTTCAATTTTGAACATTTTAAATAAATAGTGGCTAGGATTACATGTACTATTTACTTATGAGGTAACTACCAAATGTTTTCAGAATGAAAAGAAAATAATAAAAAATAATCTATGAGATAGGCTGCATTTTCTTAACCACTTCTTGGCATTTACATTCTAATTTTCAGGCCAGCCTCTGATTTTAAGAAGCATAGCCCCATAACTGACAGTAACAAATGACAAATCCACGTATAATTTCTCAAAGACTCTTTTTCCTGGAAAATAGTGTTTTAAAGTATATGCTTGACCCATTTTAAACAGAAGTTACTTTCAGAAGCCTTGCCAGAAACATCCTTTAAGAGCATCATTCATCTAGGTCTCAATTGCAGTCCATCAATCGTAGCTCCATGTGATTCTCGGAAAGAGCAGATTTTAATGTCAGACACAACAGGCTGCACTGGTTGGTTCAGAAAACGTCAGAAATGAGTGGCCTTAGTAAGTGCTGAAGAGGAGCCTGAGTTCTCCGAGCTCAGAGATCCTCAAGCCTGTTGAGGAAATAAATTCTCATTTAAGGCTCTACAGTGTGGACACAGTCACTGACCACATTTTTAAAATAAACACAGTTTCCTCTGAATTGAAAACAATTTTTTTGTCAGTATAAATTTCCAACAATTGTCAAATACTCAGCAGGAGCAATGGATGTTGCTTCCCACTTGGAGAAGGAAGAGCCCATAAGAAGGCCCCATTAGATACTACTTTCATTGTCTCCTCTGAGAAAAGACGAATGTCCTTGAATACATGGGAGAATTGAAACCAAAGTTTGGAAGTTAGGATCATTAGGGATCAGCTTTTTTTTTTTTTTTTTTTTTTTTTTTTTTTTTTACTGTTCCTTTTATTTTTAAAGTACCAGAAATTTCCATGTACTTTAACACTTAAAATTTGTCATTGCCTACTCAATTTTCTAGCCTCTGTCACAACATTCAGTGCCATATCTTCCTCTTCCAGTATAAACAAACACCCTTCCTATTCTTCAGAACTCCAGGCCAACAGAGTATAAAAGTTGCTATAACGTACTGATAATTCACTGTTACAAATTAAAATAAAAATCCAAACCATGTAGGAAAGAAAGCCTGAGTTCATGTTCTCTTATCTTCCTGTAGTCATAGGGCCTAAATTTATTGCTCTAATATGATAATTAGATGCATGGTTGAAGTGATAATATATTTTTCACTTAATTATTTAGTCACAAAACATTTATGTGCAAGGCACTGTGGGGTGGTGCAAAAATTAATGAAATATGGTTCCTACTCTGGAAGATCCGTGTAGTCGCATACAGGAGATGAACCAGGCATATAAATAAGCATATGAGCTGGAAGATACTGGTCTCCTTGATCAAGTTCATGTTTCTTAAAATTCATTGTTCATGATACCCACCAGGACGTTTGTTTAGAAATGCAGACTCCTGGGCCCAGCTCTTTCAGTAAGCCAGAGAAATAGGGCCCAGAAATCTTCATCGTTAATAACTACTCCTAAAAACAAATTCAGATGCCGATGGTCAAAGATGGCCCCTTGAGAACTGGGACTCACCACAGAGTGAGGTAATACAGTAGGGAAGGAACGTACAGATGTGAAGGAAGCTGCATTTGTTTTTTTGTTTTTTGTTTTTTTTAACATCTTTATTGGAATATAATTGCTTTACAATGGTGTGTTAGTTTCTGCTTTATAAGAAAGCAAATCAGCTATACATATACATTTATCCCCATATCTCCTCTCTCTTGCATCTCCCTCCCACCCTTCCTATCCATTTGAAATAGAACCAGAAGGATTGGTGAGGTTTGGCAGTTCAGAGGGGAGACAGGGGCCCCCGAGCGGAAGGGGGCTTGCAGTGTGCCTGAGTGAGGAAGTGGGATCGACAAAGCCAATGATCTGCCTTCTCCTCACCGTCATTCTTCATTATTAATCAGATGTTCCAGATCCGCCAGAAAACCTTCACTTGTCTGAGAGACAGAACAGAAGTGTTCGGCTGACATGGGAGGCTGGAGATGATCACAACAGCAATATTAGCGGTAGGGAAGACTTGGGATAACTGTAGTTTCCAGAGTTAAAATTAATATTAAAGCCATTAATACCACCAAGGGTGGATTATCCTTAGAACATCCTTTAAAATGTTTAATATTGTATATAAAGCTTAGTATAAGTTAAACATTCTCAATCCATTCTAATGTGTTTTTCTATGTTCCTACCGCCAGAGTATATTATAGAATTTGAAGGAAACAGAGAGGAACCTGGAAGGTGGGAAGAATTGACTCGAGTCCAAGGAGAGGAAACAACAGTCATGTTATCTTTGGCTCCGTATGTGAGATACCAGTTCAGGGTCATAGCCGTGAATGAAGTAGGGAGAAGCCAGCCTAGCCAGCCATCAGCCCATCATGAAACACCCCCAGCAGGTATGTAAGTTCACACCTCAACTTCCTAACAAGTTTTAGTCTGTCGCATCTTTGAACAAATGTGGGGGTGGGGGGGGAAGGATTGATAACCTGGTGTAGGATTTTAGAATTCTCCCAGTAGAGAGCTTGAATAGTTCTGTAAACTTAACAGCACGCAAACTATTTAAAGTACATCAGTCTCAAAAGTCATATGTAAATGTTTGATAGATAGCAGGATATTACAAGGAGGTACATGAACAAGCATTACTCTGAGTAATTTCTGATAGCTAAGTATTGTGTTAAAATCAGGTACCATAAAGTAGGTTCTAAATTGAAGTTCAGTATATAGGGAGAAAGTCAACTTTCTCTATTTTTCTCCTCATTTCAACTTCCTGAAATAAAACATTTGACATGTTATAGGCAGCTTGTTAAATTTTCCTTGCATCTAATGTCATTAATTTTATCCATTTAGTGTATTTTTGTATCTCAGTAGCTAAACGAGTATCTAATACCTATCTAAATTCCCAAGATGCTTTTAAAAAAAAATTCTCAAGAATGAGCATGCTGTAGTAGTGTATACAGAATTCAAACTATAATATTGTAAGAATGAGACTTACATAATGTTATAAACCAAAAAAATAATGACAGCGCTGACATTTGTATTACTGAATTGGGATTGGTTATCAATGTGGTCATAGCCTGGTTTTTTTTCCTCTGGCTGAAATAAATATGCTAGGATAGAATTCCCTTTTAGGATTGAGAAAAATCAAGGGGAGATAATAACTGAATCAGATACTTGTATGATTTTAGTATAAATTCATCTTGACACTAAACTCCATACTTAGCCCTTTTTTATAAAATGGATCCATCTGAATATATATTTCATGGGCACGTTAACTGCTGTTTCCTGTTTGATGCCCCTAAAACTTGGCTGTTGATATTAATACATGATCTTTAATTTTATTCACTTAGAGGCAAATATTCACAACAAAATTTCTAACAGTAATTCTAATAGAAAAAGTAAAGCAGATTTTAAACTAAAAATGTATATTTAAATAATGGGTTTAGATTTTTAAAAGCAGGTTTAAAGAGCAGAGTTAAAATGAAGAGAGGTAAAGAAAACCTCCCACTCTCCATTGAATATTAATTATATCACTCCATGAACACGATTTTACTCCCTGAATTAAAATATATTTAAAAGCTGCCTTATGTGAGGTGACAGATGTGTTAACTAACATTATTGTGGTGATCATTTCACAATATACACATATAAATATTATATATATGCTAATATACACATATAAATATTATATACATGTGATATATATATATACATTCTAAAATCATTATGTTGTAGACCGTAACGTAGTGTTAACTTACACAATGTTATGTGTCAATTATATCTCAGTACACCTGGGGGGGAAAAAAAAAAAAACCGCCATAAGTCTTTTTTCAAACTGGGCCAGATAAAAATAAACAAATATAATCAAAGTTTTTAAAAATCTGTTTTTTGTGGGAGGAGGGATGAAATGATGATTTATCTATGGACCATACAGTGGGAAAAAGTAATTTTAATACTTGTAATTTTTCAGCTCCAGACAAGAATCCACAAAACATAAGGGTTCAAGCTTCTCAACCCAAGGAAATGATTATCAAATGGGAGGTGAGAATTCTTTCTGTGTTATTTATTACCTTTGTGTGTTTTTCCTGTTTTTAGGTCCGCATGCTAAGTATGATGATAGAATAATATCTTTTAAGAACAAAGGGCTAAGATTTGTATATTTTATAAATATATTTTATTTGTATATTTTAAAGATCATCATGATTAGAATGTTGTGAAATAGAGTTTAACAGTGGTAGATAATTTAAGAAAGGTTACACAGGTTGATTTGATTATAATCCATCCCCCCAAAGTTTACAGTTCCTAATATTTTTATTACCAGTATTCTAAATCCTCTCCCATTCAAAGAAATACTGAAAGTCTTTTGGTAAACTTTCGTACATGGGCTAATGAAGATTATTCATATCAAAAGGATGACTCGCAAGGAATAGTCACCACTTACTAAGCACTATTAGGCATTTTGCATACTCATTTCAAATTCTGAGAACAGTGTTGTCAAGAGAGCATCATTAATACTGTGTTCTAGATACAGAAACTGAGGTCCAGGCTGATAGATAGACTGGCCCATCACCACACAACTAGAAATCAACAGAGCTAGGATTTCAACATGAATATCTTTGGATTTCAAACCCTACTCATTTTCTCTTTATATACATCTCTGTTAAAAGTTACTAAAATAGACTTTCCTCCTTGAATTTGGCATAAAATCTTATATCTGCTAAGATGACTTTAATTTTTTTGAATGTCATTTCTAAATTTCTTCTGTAACAGTGGAAAGCTGTTTTCCCCTTCTATTATTTTGACATGTTTGATGAACAAGTATTTTAACTTACTTGAAAGTAGATTGCCATCCAAAGATTCTGATTAATAATAGTCTTCCGACACTGAATTCACTGAATTTTACAAACATTTCTGAATGTATGCTGGAATATATTTATTTCCACACCTCATTTCAGATGTGATTTTCTGAAGAATTTTAGAATGTACAAAGTTTGATTTCCTTTTTTCTTCATCATATATTGGTCTTATATGACAAGATTGCCCATACCTGCAAAATATGTAGTCAATAATTTTATGTCAAAACTAACCCTTTATTCCCATTTCAGTGAAATTGTTGTACACATTTGAAACAAAAACTGGTAATATACAGAAACTAAATATATTCAAGAATATTATTATTTTCTTGAATATGTGGCCATGTATAGCTGCTACCACATTGTCCTGATGACTATTTAATTTAGAATTTGAAATTATGTTAGTATCTTGTTCTTTGAGAGTATCTCTTCTTCTTTTAAATTCCATGGAAATTTCTGTAGGAGAGATGATATAACTGATTGATTAGATGACAGTAATAGTGTATCATTACCCGGTCAGATCCTCAAAGAAGTACACCATTTTCCACTAACATTGGCTCCTTAATCCTCACCACTCCTCTGGGAGGGCTACAGTAGCTCCATGGTATCAGCATTACATTCTGTCTAGAGAAGCTGGGACTGCCAGTTTAGTGACCTTATCCAGATGCCATGCCCTGAGTCAGTAATGAAAAGGGGGCAGCAATCTGCAGTCCTTCTCACTGATGATCTTATTCATAAATCACTCTTCTCCCCTGCCCCCAAAGATACAGCAGACTGAGTACTAATATGCTCTTTTCTTGGAAGAATGGGATTATCCCGTGAAAGTGTTTACAGTTTGTCTTTGAAGAGTAAATGACATATAATTTAGTGATTAATTGACCAGAGGAAGAAAGTACTCAGAGAGATTTGGAACTATGTTGACAATTATATTCATAATATATTCCATTGTGTTTCATATCATTTTGAAATGGCAGAGATCTAACAACTGTAAGCACAACCAAGGAAGTTTAAGGACATTTACTCGTCAGTTACTGTTTTGCGTCGATTATCGTGTAAAAAGGAGTTAAATGCCAGATCATTCCCCAAGTTGACAAGCGCACACTGTGAACGTATTACCAGATCCCATCCAAAGATTGACTCACAAAATAATGCCTGTATACAAGATAATGACCAGAGAGAAGCAATTTGTTTAAAAAAAAAAAAAAAAAATCGTTCACAAAAGGGTTAAATAGGAACAGACTAGTTGTCCCTAATTTTTGTTTGTTTTATGTTTTCTTTTTAGCATTAAATATGAATAAAAGTAATGTATTATGAGGTCCTTGGTTTATTTATGGCAATTAAAAAAAAGTCTTTGGTCTCCTGGAATGTATAATCTAGTTGGAGAGACAGACGATAAGCAAATACATGAGAAATAAAACAATACCGTTTTGAAAAATTCAGTGGAGGAAAATAATATACAGACTTCTGTATGTAGCTTGTTAATGAATATGCATTTACTCATTGAATGAGTGAACTTATATTACAGTCAGTGAATTTCAGTTTATTTTATTTAGCTCACGTTCTATTATATATGAATTATCTTTATAAATGTGTCACATTAAATATTAAGGATACACAATTTTTTTTAATGTATTAAATTTGAACTTACGGATAGAACTGGTCTTTTTAGTTAGCATTATCTTCTAAGATTCACTTCTCTTGTATTAGGCAGGTCATGACTCACTCACATGTTTTAAGTGTTAAAAAAAATGATAATATCCTATCCCTCAAAACAGAGAAAAAGAGCCCACTGCACCCTGATTGGTTAAATAATTATACCATGATGAATTTTGCTTGACTTTTCCCTTTGTTCTTAGGTGTAAATATATTTATGTTAAATTTGAACTTCTATAAAACAGCAAATTTCTAATCTCAAAGACTCCAGAAAACAGATGAACAAAAACAAAACAAACAAACAAAAACCCAATTCACTAATGTTTGGGAAACAGGAACTGCTTCAGTTACCTGATTATATGATCACAGCCAAGTTGTCTCACTCCTAAAGGACCTAGGACTTATTATTTCTACTGCAAGTATAATAAGAAAGTCCACCACCTTTAAAATGAATTTAGGCAGTACAGAAAATCCGTCCAGTTTCTAGATGAGTCATTATAACCTTTGCTTTGTTCATAGATCTCTTTGAAAATACGATAGAAGTATAGTTTTCCTCTAGAAAGTTATACAGAGAAAGTTTTCCTAACAGTTTCACGGCTTTTCAGATCCTTTGAAGGGCACTCATGGACCCCATCTAGAGATGCCTAGCCATCAAGTTAAGAACCTCTTTTATAGAGATTCCTTCCTTCCGAGCAGCTTCATGAGCAGAGGGGAGGCTGGTGGTCTTTCCCCACCACTCACCTCCCTGGCTCCGTATTGCTCCTCTGGTCTGTTATCTTTAGTGGGGGCCTATTTGAGAATTTGCTGAGGTTTTGTTGTCCACTGTCTGAAAGCCAAGTACAAAGTATTCCTGCAGTTTCTTTGGGAGCCTAGGCACCAAGGAGGCTGGCGATTTAGGTAAGGTTTTTCTTAAAAGTGTTGCCTCTGGTGGCACAGTTAGTTTAAAATTTTTCCAGAGAGCTTTATCAAATGTAGCTATTTTTCTTGAAGCAAAACATGTGTAAACTGAATAATAGTATTTGTACACATTTATTGTCAGTTGGGACTGAAGGAAATTGTAATTGCAGATAGTAGTATGGAACTAAAAGCTTGTGGCCTGATTTATCCGGGCAATGCTAAAGCCTCCGGTGAATTTATATCTATATGAGAGTAGAAAATATCTTGGGGCAAAACTTGGAAAGCAAAACATAAACGATGACTATGAAAATCTCAGAAAGTTTTTGTTTTGATATTTTTTCCTCCTAGCTAATTTAAGTATTCACCCTGGAATAGGCATAGACTTGAAATTATTTTGCTGATTTAGCGTATACTTTCAACTTAATTCCATCCAATCCGTCTAACAAGTATTTTAGTAAAGTTGACTGAGTCCAGAAGCATTGTAAATTCTGTAAGAACACTATATATGATATTATTGAATCACGTGCATATACAGACAAAACTACTGTTTATATAAGTGACCCTTATAAATCTATGACTAAAATCACATTTTTAGATATTCTATATAACTGATTCACTTAAATGCACATTCCCATTTTTATGATATTAAACAGATGGCTTAAATCACATTGATGTTTTTTGAATTAAAGTACTATTCTATTAAAAACTGGAGTGGAAATAACCAATTTCCTATATGAGAAATTCCTCCACTATATATTTCTATACAGCACAGTGAAGTGGAGGGTGGGAAGCGCTTTCTCGTAAAAGAAATAGAATGGGCAAGGAGCTGGGGAAATATTTTATTGTAGAGAGGAGTACATCTTCTGGGTACTAATGTATACTAATGCATATTATCCAAAAATATTTACTTGCTCTCTCTCTTCTCTTGGAAAGAAGATGGAGGAGGATGGATGGAGTCAGGTAGAAAGAGTTCTGACTGAAAAGCCATGGGAAGCATCCCATTTACATCCCTGGAATTCATGGCCATGTCCTTTTTATTTCTGCAACTTCTCTGAGAGTGGGAAAAAAACCCCAAACAGAAAGAATATAGAACAAAGTGTAAACAAAAGCTAAAACCCTCTGTGGAATCTCTTAGTAAATTCTTTCATATGTGAACTGTTAGGCATAATCCAGGCATCTAAATTGTGAGAGTCTCTACTTGGGGAGGTAAGGGAGTAACTTTCAAGGTTAAATTTACAGAATGACAACATTTTTCACATGTATTTCCAAACCAAAGAGGGGGATTGAAGATCTCCCAAGAAATGATACCTTTATTGCAGCGTTTCTTGGGCCACTTCGGGTGGCTTCTGTGTCTCTGACTCAGCATATCTGTGGTCACGTGGGATGAGTGTGGCCTTCTGTTTTAGCCTCTGAAACACATGGAGCAGAATGGACCTGGACTGGAGTACAGAGTGACCTGGAAACCACAGGGAGCCCCGGTGGAGTGGGAGGAAGAAACAGTCACAAACCACACCCTGCGGGTGATGACGTCTGCTGTCTATGCTCCATATGATGTCCAGGTCCAAGCCATCAATCACCTGGGCTCTGGCCCTGAGCCTCAGTCAGTGATTCTCTATTCTGGAGAAGACTGTAAGTGGTGCACCTGAAACCCCAAATACTTTCAAGAATAGCTTCTCTCAAGTATATTACACTCTGTCGATGAATATTTTTGAGCCGACTACTGCATTCAAAGTGGATGTACTAGCTGTAGGAGATAAAAAGACATGTAACACACGGTTTCTACTCCAGAGTTGACTGCAGGAGAGTTGATCAGTATAGGGTGGTAAGGAAGAATGTTGAAAGGTTTAATTTTTATTCAGTTTCCCAAAAAAGCTATTTCTATGATGAAAATCAAAGACTTGGAATCAGCAGTGCCCACAGTTAAGCAGCATAACTGTCATAAGGTTTCCAATCACATCTGCCCTTACTTGTCAAGGACTTCCTAACAGCTCTCTGCTGTCGCACGCACCCTGGCCTCAGAGCTGGAGCCTTCCTAACGAAGATGAGGTGCACACCCAGATTTGCATATGGAATCTCACGTGCGCACGCACACACACACGCGCACACACACACACACACACACACACAGTTTTGAGGTACTGATGATATCTTATTATTAAATATTTACACCATAATAACAGCTGCAGATAAATTATTGGAAAAAGGAAAGACTGCATTCCAAATCTGTACACGGTAGGAGTTATTCTCATTGTTCTTGCAGTATCCAAAGTAATATTTCGATCCAAGAATAGAAGAAGATTTAGTTCACCTGCTACCTAAATTCTCACTACACAGGACTTCTCAGTGTGAACTAATATATTAGTCTTGGCTGTGGTGGGTTTGGTTTATTCGTACGTAGTTAGCTCCCCTGTAGAATGGGGATAATAATACCACTTTATAGGGTTGTTCTAACGATGATGTGAGCCAATCCAGTATAGGCCCTCAGCACAGTGTCTGACACACAGAATATGCTCAATTAATGTCAGCTCTTCTTATGAATATTAGATTCACGAACTCCCAAGTAATTTTAGTTATATTATTAGTCTAGCTCACATGTTTCCAGAGGCAGATGCCCACAGAAAATTTTACTGGTCACTGTTTCCAGTTACATTGCCCACACTGTATCCATCTGAATGGGGGCTTTTCTCAGCGTGGTCCAGGCTCTCCTCTTCTCTAGAAACCTATTTGGACCCCGAAACTCTTCTGTAATGAGAAACTCTTGGTTCCATTTGCAATTGATTTGAGACAGGTGTTTTCCTCAGATTAAAAAACATGAAAGATCACCTTTTGGAAATGATCTTAATGATCGTGCTTGGAGATTACTGAAAGCTAATCCTTCTTATTTTCTTAACAGATCCTGATACAGCTCCAGTGATCCATGGGGTGGATGTGATAAACAGCACATTAGTTAAAGTTACCTGGTCAACAATTCCAAAGGAAAGAGTACATGGACATCTGAAAGGATATCAGGTTTTTATCATAGATTTTCTTCTTCTCACTGTGGAATTAATATATTTCCTGTAAATAAGAACTGATTCCAGAAGAAGCCAAAAGAGAATGTGCCACCACGGCTGATGTGTTAAAGCGTTCCTATTTTCATTGCAGGTAAATTGGTGGAAAACAAAAAGTCTGTTGGATGGAAGAACGTATCCTAAAGAAGTAAACATTCTGAGATTTTCAGGACAAAGAAACTATGGAATGGTTCCTTCCCTAGATGCCTTTAGTGAATTTCACTTAACAGTCTCAGCTTATAATTCCAAAGGAGCTGGTCCAGAGAGTGAGCCTTATATATTTCAAACACCAGAAGGAGGTGAGAGAATAACGATGTAGAATAACGATGTATTTAATAAATTAAATATCAAATTTTTAAATAAATAACAATTTAAAATAAATAACAAATATCCCAATGGCCAAGACATTTCCTCCCTTATTAGTTAGTTAATCTGTACTTAGGTCATATGAATTAGCTTCTCAATTTAATAAACTAATTTTTTTAAAGAAATTTACCAATTTATGAGTGTCTGTTGTTGACCCTGTGTTTTCCAGTACCTGAAAAGCCAACTTTTCTCAAGGTCATCAAAGTTGATAAAGACACTGCCACTTTATCCTGGGGACTACCTAAGAAATTAAATGGAAACTTAACTGGCTATCTATTACAGTACCAGATAAGTAAGTACATATTTGAACTGGATTTGCCTAGCAGTGTTTCATTTTTTCTGGTTGCGTACTTGGTTTACCATGCTGAGAATCCAGTTCATGGTTTGTAAGCTGGCATACTTCCTTTACAGCACAGGGGTTTGTAAACTGGCTGGCAGACCAAAATCCAGCCTGCTGCCTGTTTGTATAAAGAACGTTTTATTGCAACACGGCCATGTCCACTCACTTAAATTTGTCTATAGCTGCTTTCTCACTAAAGTGGCAAAGCTGAGTAGTTGCCACAGAGATTGCATAGCCCACAAAGGCTAAAATATTTACAATCTAGTCCTCTTCGGAAAGGTTTGCCAATTCCTGATTTAGAAGAAAAGCAGTATGTTAATAGGTACCAGAAAACATGCATTTAATACGTGTATGTAAGAGGCTTTGAGCATTAGGAAATACGCAAAGAAAAACTTAATGTAGTGGAGACTCAAAGTGCACTAACTTCCACACTACACTGCCTGTTCTGACTCTGGTGCATGTTTCCAATCTGTACCCTGCATCTGTTTGTATTTGAGAATCCTCTATTGGTAGCCCAGTGGTACAGTCATGTAATATTGAGAGAACCAAGGAGTTGTCTTTGCACCATTACCCTAGGCTCTCCCCCTATGCTGCTGTGCCGTTAGGTTAAAAAAAATCAAACAAACATGTTTAGATGAAGTCAGCTCATTTTGATCATACCTCCTCCCACCTTCAATAGTTTTCAAATCTGGGCATCATCTCAAAATGGAAATTAGGGGACTGAGCTCACAGAAAAAATTTAAACTTGGAAGACATGAATTCCTAAACAACAAAAACACCAGGACTATAGAAACCCAGTCTGCACTGCTTGCAAAAGTCAACTTGATCATAGCCCTGAACTGCCATCAGTCAGTTCAAGGCTTGCAGCAATTCAGGTCAGGTACCAGCTTTAGCTTCTGATGGCCTATTCTGTTTTAGGTGCCTATGATTAAATGGATACAGCCATAACCCTAATAGAGGCAGCATTTTAGCGTCTTTGAGTGTTTGGTATATAGCAGGATCAGTAAGTACTAAGAATTCTTCCTGCATTTTTTTTCATTAAAACAGGAAATCTATGAGGTATGTACCATCACTACTTTATGGATGAGAAGCATATAGAGCTCACTTACAGAGAGCTGTGCAGTAAAATAAGTGTTACACAAGGATTCAGACCCAGCTCAGTCATTCTAGATGCTGAACTGTAAAGCCTACACTATTCCATGAACTGGATTTCAAACATGTAGAAAGCACTGAAGAAATATTTGAAGACTTTCCAAATGTCACTTTGCTTGATAAAGATATGCCTTCTCTTTATCCTCATAATGAAGAAACTCAACATTAAATTCCAACCTTCATGCTGATCTGTATATAATACATAAATTTATTTTTAAAACAAGTTCTTAGAATATATAGAGAAAAGGCTGGAATAGTGACAATTGCAGTGGTTACTGTACTACTTGATATGTGGATTTTTTAATAAAATGATATATACTTACTCTGCTCTCTATTAATATTAAGTGATTGAGATATTTTTAGGTGGCCTATATATTTTTGTGGCTCTTACATGTTCTAAATAGTTGTCGAGTGTGTATATGAGAGCTCTGTACTTTCCTGAATTCTTACATTGATGGTGGTAGTTTTTCAGTTGATTGGTGGTATTTTACAGAAATGCTCTCCAGTAATCTACAAATGGTGATTATTTTACTTTCTTCTTTCCTGTGTTTGGATTATTAGTTTCTTTTTCATTTCCATTCATATCGTTGCATTATATAGACCAATGGAGGCATTTTTATGTTAAAGAGTAAATGTATTTTTTTATGGTCTCTTGGACTGAGAGTCAAGAGTGTTTATTCTAGTCGTTCTCTTACCGCTAATGGCTGCACAGTTTTGGAAATACCGTTTCATCTCTTGGATTATTCTTACGGCAATCTTACAGTACTTTGTGCCTTTGCACAACTGTCATGATCTTGCTATGTGGCAGATTCTTTGAAAGGCACTATCTAAATCATCTTTTTCCATATATCACTTTACATAGTGCTTAGTATACAATAGATATTTAAAAATGTGTAATTTATCAGTTTCTTGAGTCTACATATGTGAGCACTTATTTGGTGCCACATATTAAACCAGAAACTGTAGAAGACTTATGTAAATTATGGTCCAAATTATCACACCAGAAGATTAAAAAATACTTAAGGACACAATGAAAATATAATAATGGGGGAAAGTTCATCATTTTAAATAGGTGTGGTAAAGCTGGAGTGATTTTCCAGTATGGCATAGTGATTAAGAACATGGGCTCTGGAGTTAAGAGGCTGTAGTTTGGATTCAAATCCCAGTTTGCCAGTTAGTGGCTCTAGGTCTAGGCAAGGTGTTTATTGTTGCTAGACCTTAATTTTCCCATGTGTAATACATCATGATAATTAACATCTACCTCAGAGAATTAAGTAAGTTGATAGCTCTGAATAATTAAGATAATATCTTGCAGACCACAAGCACACATAGAAGCAAAAATAAGAGACAACATAACTTGAATGGTTAAGGCTGTGAAATTTGAGCCGTTGATATGCCTGTTTATTTCTTTAGTAAATGACACCTATGAGATTGGAGAACTAAATGATATCAACATTACAACTCCATCAAAGCCCAGCTGGCGTCTCTCAAACCTCAACGCAACTACCAAGTATAAATTCTACTTGAGGGCTTGCACTTCAAAGGGCTGTGGAAAACCCATCACTGAGGAAAGCTCCACATTAGGAGAAGGGAGTAAGTACAGGACGTTTATGCGTGCTATGTTTTAAACTGCTCTGAAAGGGCTGCATCATGCTCTGTCACTGTAAATTAGAAATGATTGTGATCTCAATCTGTCTGACCTTCTGTTTTCCACTGACAGAGAGAATTTATTTATCTTGTTTCTAAAGTTCACATTGACTCAATGTATGAACTTCTACACATCAGTAATCAAACTATAGCCTTAGTGTATATAAGGTCAGGAACTATAATTTTGCTTAATTAAAATAGGGGGATATAAGGTCAAAAAGTTACTCGTAAGATTAGTAGAGGGATATTTTTCTTGTGGAAATGTTTCCACACGGGAAAATATTTGCCTCTTGCACTGGTAGACATTTTGCAACGCTGATCTAATACATTTCACCTCCATGTCATAACTCTTATATACATTGATTCATATATCAATTTTAGTTTACTCTCTACTGGTTGATGCCAAGTAACTAGCTTGAAAATGGCTCATAAATCTCTGCTTTCATTTGTACAATTCTCCTAGTGCAATTACACTTTTTTTTTTTTTTTCCAACTCAGGCCATTTCCCTTCCCAAATTATTTCTCCAATTATGATTTTAGCAGTAATTTTACTAAGCTTTCTATGTTATCAACAGGGCATCAGGAGAGAAAACAAGAAGGTAGAACAAGAAAGGGAAATGGATTGGAGGAATGGATAAACACACTAATAAGTTTAAAAAGAGGGCCTTGTGTAGAATTCAAGTCCATCAGATTTAGAGGGATATTTGAGGCAGGCAAAAGGAAATGGGAGATGGTAGGAAGGGAAATACAAATAAGTCATTTATGTGTCAGCGGACTATGTGTCCGCTGTTCTGGATGCTTTCCCGATTTTTAGACTGGAAAAAGAAAATAATAATGAAAATTGAATTGTCTATCACTTATAAAAGATACATATGGAAATGTATTTAAGTTTGTGAATCAGTATAAAATCAATGGGTCTGTGTGAATGGTTATGCTGTGACCTTTATTGTCAGTTTGTTTCTTCCTCTCATTTTGTTCCTACTGTAGCTAAATAATGAAGAGCTTATGTTTTCCTCAGACTCCCTAAATACTCCAAACTCCCTTTTGTGGGGAAAAAAATATATATGTATATATATTCAAAATGGTTTCTCCTCAAAAACCCACAAGTTATTCCCAAGGATGAATTAGACGCCAAGTGAAATGAAGAACTCATTTACTTACTCCTAAGAGGTAGATTTAAAGATGGTGATTGAAAACTTTCTAGTAACTAAAAGGTTCTTATTTCTCAAGAGTTCAAACGGGTATCAAGTGTTCAACACAAAGAAAATAAGTCAGAATAGTGGTAATGTAAATATGCAACTTTCCTATTTTCTACAACAGAATTTAGGGCATGGAGAGGGTTATTGTGTTTTTTTGTTTTTTAGGACCAAGACCTTAGTATGTGTCAGATATGCTAATCCCATTCCTGCCAATTTGAAGCATGTAAGAAAAGAAATTCACAAAATTGCCTTACAGTAGTTAGGCATTCTAGTATCTATGGAAATATTTGGAGAATTTGGGCTTGGTTGGGTTTATGTTTGTTTGACAAACTCTTTTCAGAGGGTAGAAAATGCTGTTTATGTGGTTTTATAAATGATGCTACATCTTTTCTGCAAATTAAAGATATAACTAATGTGCTTGAGTGTTTTACAGCAGATTTCTTCACTCTCTCATGTGTTGTAATTTGAAAATGTTTCTTACTAGTATGTTTGTGCTCTTTTTCAGGATTCTGCATTTTCAGCTACTGTCCCCTTCCCTAGTTGACACTGATTTTTCTTCTATAGTCCTATCTATCTTGCCATATTTACAGGAAAGAAACTGTAATCTCCTTCTGCCACTCAATTTCGGCATGATCTTTGAGAAAAAGAGAGAAAAATTATATACGTATATATATATATATACTTCTACTGAGGAAATCCATCTTGCTATCACTAAATACTCTAAAAATGATAACTTCTGTGCAAATTGGAATGTATTTCTGTGTATCTTTCTTCTCTTTGCATAGTTGGCACATTTTAAGGTCATCTGGCATTAAATCAGAGAATGGGATTTGATACACAATCATTTTTTTCCCCCCATCATTTTCTGGTTGTCACTCTGAGTTTCAGGTGGCGCACATTCCATAACCTAACTGGGGGAAAAAATGGAGTTAATCCGAAATATTCTTTTTTGTGTCATTACTGGTTTGAATAAAACACTTGCTTTGCTCTATTTTTCAAAAGCTTGCGCTACTTAATGTAACACTAAATTTCTGTTTTTCAAGGGCAAAATTAGTTGTGTTTTGTTTCAATGGTGCTCAATCTTGAAGGCTTTCTTCAGCTAATATAACTGGTCTTATTTTTCCCACGGTGCCATTTTTTAACGCTCCTTGTGTTATCAGTAACTATATAATCAATTTTTACTCTGTGGTGAAAAGTTGTAACTAAATTTTAACGTGTGACACATTCTCACTTAAAACAGTGTAATGACTCCTAATATTCTCAACATGGAATATATTTCATTTTCAATATAACTTGTTAACATTTCTTGGTTTACATTTATTTGAGTTAGTTCTTAGCAAAAGTATGGATCAAAAGGCAAAATATTTTAGGTATTTTGTTATAGTATTGGACATTAAATGTATATTTTAATGACACTTGAGTCATATTTTTATCTGATATTTCTACAATTAGTATATTGACATATTCACGTTTCTTTTGAAACGTGTAAATTTCTCACTTTGAAAATCTCAGTGCATTTCATTTAAATGTACCTGTAAACCTGCACTTTCATGTAGCTTAAGTTTCTACAATTTTCAAATATTTAATATATGAGCATACTGTGATGCTATTCCACCAATATTTATGAAGACAACCAAAGCAGAAAGAAGTAATAATACAGAGTTAGGATTTTAATGCCATATGCGTTCACTTATAAGCCAAAATTGCCATATTCCGTCCCTGCTAGGTTTGTGAAAGTCCAAATTGCAACAGATGACATTGTATAGGTTTTTGAAGTCTGTGTTTGGTTTTAAACCATTCATATGACCAGGCGGATTTATAGTATCACTTCATTAATAAGTGAGTGCATCGTCGTAAAAGGACATGAATTCAGTTCATTTCATTTACTCCATATCAGCATATTAAAAAAGAAAATCTTGAAACGTTGCTTTTCTTGATCTTCTGATAATTCAGAAACTGAGGGAAAAAATGCTACAAAGGGCTCTCGTATTCATCTCAAATAACAATACTTTTTTACTTTTCATGTCGTACTTTTCAGTGATGACAATTCGTATGATTTAACTGTGTACGTTTCTTAGGTAAACGTGTCGGGAAGATATCAGAAGGAGTAAATCTTACTCAAAAGATTCACCCAGTAGAGGCATTTGAGCCGGGAGCTGAACATATAGTTCGCCTACTGACTAAGAATTGGGTTGATAACAATAGCCTTTTTGAAGATGTAATTGAGACAAGAGGGAGAGGTGAGAAATGAGACTCTGTTTGGAGCCATCTTAGACAATACATCTGTGTTCTGTAGATTATTTAATGTTACATACTTCCTATATTAAAGATAAAAATACGAAGTATGTTAGCTATAACAACAGTAGTTTCCATTTGTTTTGGCATAGCATTTTAAAATTGTCAAAACGAAACATGTTTCACCGAGGTCTGAGTTATCCCTTATTGTTTTTACCAGAGTAGTTGCCCAAAAATGTCTGCTGCTAATTAACGTGTGTGAATAACAGAAACCCAAAAGAAAACCACAACCAAAACCCCCAGCGTCTCCATAGCAATCTGCATGTAACCGAGGCAGCTCGTGCTTTTGCTTGCTTGCTGTTGCTGCTGTGTTTAACTGCATCTGTCTCTACTGTCTCTCTTTGGTTGGCGTCCTCAGAATCAAACGCAATTTGAGAGGGCCCTTTCTAAAAAATGATTAAGTGATTTATCAGTATTCTCCCAATGAAATGTCCTTCGAATCACATTCCCTCTAGGGTCACTCCAAGGAAAAGATAAAATTCATGCTATTTCGTACGTTTAAAAATGGTGTTTAATTTTCCCCAGAAGGGCATAATTCCAAAGACCGTTTCTAGCGCTCAACGTGTGACTTCTCTTTGTACAACAGAATATGCCGGTTTATATGATGACATCTCCACGCAAGGCTGGTTTATTGGATTGATGTGTGCGATTGCTCTTCTCACGCTAATGTTGTTGACTGTTTGCTTCGTGAAGAGGAACAAAGGTGGAAAGTACTCAGGTAATAAAGTTGTTTCTTAATATGACTTTGAATTTTATTACATTCTCTTTAATTTCTCGGAGGCCATCTTCAGAGACATCTTTAATTTTTTTAAATTACACACTTAAGTCAAATTGATGTTTAGCACCTTAGGTGTACGGTATACTGAGAGGGGGGAAAAAAATTCCTGTGTTAACTAACCAAAGGGAATACGTGGGGTCTAGAATATTATCTCTAGTTGGTTGCTTGTTTCCTTGTTTCTAGTATATAAAATAGGCTCTAGGGAGACAATATAATACTTCCAAGCTTCTATTTTCTATCTGTAAAGTATCACAGATGTTGGTAAGACCTGTTACTAAGTCACACACATTCATGACCCAGAGATGTGTTGCATCAGTCCATTCTAATAGTACTGGCTCTGCTAGTCAACTGCGTTAAACTTAACCGGTGCTGGGAATGCACTTCTTATTACCCTGACATATATCGGATACCCTGCCTCTTAATTAATATCGGGCTTGGCTTTAATTTCATTCAATTTCCAAATTTCGTCTGTCTGTTTCAGATATACATGTTTTGTTGTTACTATTATTATTTTTTTTGCTTAGCATTCTTGATGCTTTTACACAGGGGGAAAGACTTAGATCCCAGTGCTATTCGTTTGTTGATGTTCAGATCAGTGTGAAATTCTTTACTGGCTTACGATTCATCCAGCAGATATTTGGGGGAGCCCATTATGTATACTGCACAACCAAACAAGAGAATAATTTCTAAATTGTAAAGTTACACAGAATTTATGCCATTATACATGTTTTTTTCTTGTTTAGACTGAATTTCTTAGGAATTAGATTTTTAATGACTAATGAACGCTCTAGGTAATTAACTGGAAACTTTAAAGAGAGAGAGCATTTCCTTGTGAGCGTCCCAATGAACTGTCATTCGTGAAATGTTGCCCCATCCGAATTCTGAAGATGCTTCTTCAAATCGTGCCCAGAAAAGAAAAACAAGTCAGCATTTCCTTTTCAGGGCACCTAAGAGAAACTCTCAGGTCTCGGCAAGTAGTAGTAAAAGGTGCCACGAAGAAGGATCTTAGCTTGCGTTTTCCTGGTAAAGTGAAGCAAAAGCCTCCTTGGCCTGTATCCCACGCTGCAGAATAAATCTAATTTATTCTGTGTCATTATAGACTTGAATATTCTGCGTACTGAGGCAGTTTGGAGTACGAGAGAGAGAACCACCAAATGATTGACTTTTTCTTAATTCCCCTTAGTTTATAATGACATAGATCTGCTATCAGCCAATGACATCTTCAAAAAGTTTAGGATAGTAAAATGTATATACAGTAATTTGGTCTTCATTGAGAGACCATAACCAAGTTACGGACTCTTCCAGTACGATGTGTTGCCCACATAACACTACATTACTTGTGTGCGTATCTGCAGCAGCCTGCGACGCTGATGACAAATGAAGACAAGCCAGAGAATCCTTTTTCTTTTTTCATTTGAATGCAGAGATAACTCTGATGGGTGATGGGTACAACCACAACAAACCTGACTTCCACTGTCAACAGCACCGTTAAATGTGTATTTAAAAATTACTTGTATTACTCCCCTCCCCCTTTTTTTCAGTAAAAGAAAAGGAAGATCTGCATCCAGACCCAGAAGTTCTGTCAGTGAAAGACGAAACCTTTGGTGAATACAGGTAAACATTACGTTCCATTGAAAAATGTAGCAGAGCACACATATTCATCAGGTTATCAGCTTACAAAGAGAGAAAAAAGTGTTTCTTCTTAATGATCACAGGACTATATTTTAATGCTCCTATGAAGAAGAGTTTGTTTAAAAAGAAAAGAAAACAGAGGGCCTTAAGTGGCCCAATCAAATTTCTCTGTGCCGAGGTGGGGATGTAACCCCTATCTTGGTAGCGTGTGTGCTAGGACACTTTTCTTGAAAGGTGTTATGCAGAGGACACTTGTTATTTAGACTGAGTAGCTGTAGATGGAGTAGCTAAAACAGCTTTTAGTCTCTCCTCACCATGGCCATTGGGAACCCAGGTTGTATGCAGCTTACACCCATAAACATGTATCCTGTGCACCTACGGTGTGTACCTAAAAGGTGACTGAGTCACAGAGCATGTCCTCCAGATGAACCTAGTCTTCTTCAGAGGAAAAAAGTATCAGTGCAAATAAATAACTGTAATTAATGAAAGAGAATAAGAGAGCGGAAAAGGGAGCAACCATTTCTGCCTAAGAGGAGTTGTGGGAAGGGTCCATTCCAAAGGAGGAAAGGATGAAAAAGACTGCGTTACTCTTAACTACCAGACCAAACTTACGAAGGTATAAAAGTGTGTCACTCGTAGGAGAAATGGCAAGAAATCTGGAATGAGGTAGGTACCTCTTCTTTTCTCACCTGTTCTTTTCTAGGATGCCATTGTTTTCAGTCAGGTCCTCTGTATACTGCAGCCAAAGGAGCTGTTACAGTTTCCAGGAGTATATGGCCGTTGGCACACAAGACCAGCATCCATATCAAATAATGGACTTGATTGGCTCTGACTGGCCTCACCCTGGATCATTACTAGAATCAGGGATGTGGAGTATTCTGATTAGCCATCCTGCATTAACTGATGTACATCTGAGCCTCGTTCTAGGCTCTACTTTGCGCTGTACTTATTTTTCTTTCTTCCATCTGAGGTAGTTTCCACGGAGAAGGAGCATTAAAGGCTGAAAGGGAGAGAGAGGGAAAAAGAAAACTTGGAAGTATACAAATTTAGGAAATTGTGACTCAAATCCCAGAAGGCAGGGATCACTGAGAGCCTATGGCAACTGCCGACAATACTTTTGAAAGATAGATATTACTGGTTCGATTTTATGATTTTATGAGGAAAAAACGAAGACGCGCCTTATTTAAAACCCATTCCCTCATATTTTGCTGCTGCTGTAAAAAGACGGGTACAATCACCCCCTGCAAGCTTTCACCTGGCATCTCGTTAGTTAATACAGTTTCCGTCATCTTTCCCCAAAACTACATCTTTATCTGGACAATTATGCAAGGAGACAGTTACATAACGTGAATTCTCGTCTTTCCAGCTTCTGGTAAGAGTTGCTTCGCTATTTGTGGCCTGGTCCTTAAGGTAATGCCACATTTTGTCTTTTTGTCTTCTTCGTATTTGCTTCTAGAGCTGTAGCATCCCAGTTCGGGAGTCAATTACTATATGAGTCAGGACAGTCTGGGTCACGCTGCTGTTGAAAACAGCGCCATATATTTTTCTTTCTCAAGTTGCGTGTGCAACACAGATGGCTCGAGCCGTCTTGGGAGCAGCGGCTGGTGAGCGAGCACTGAGGGGTCAGCACAGCAGAGGAAATGGAACATGGCAAGTGGAGTACTTGGCTGGAAAGTGTCATATGTCACCTCTGCTCACTTTGGCCAAAGCAAGTCCCACGGCAATGCCTAACTCAGAGGGCAGTGAAGGATCATCCTGCCACGCTTCCAGCAGGCTGAGATATGGACCTATTGGCCGACCAGCACCAGTGACTCCCACATACAGCACACTAATTATATTTTTCTCCCAAATTTTCCTGTTTTAGAATTTTAGAAAATCGTCTAATTTGGTGTACAGCTTTCTAGTGTGATGGAAGTTGATATTAAAAAAACCCATCATCTAGAAATTAAGAAAACTATATCATTTTATAGACCCTGTACTAACTCACACTTGCTTTTGGTGAAGAACAGAACGCAAAGCGTAAATGAATGTAGGATACTTGTAGTATTTCTGTTCTAAAAATGCCAGCTTTTTTTTTTTTTTTTTTTTCTCATTTAACAAACCTGAGTTTAGAAAGTTCTTTGGTTACAAGAAACAGAATTTGATTGATTAACCTCAACAAGAGAGACATTTCTGGAGGGCTTTGGAGGAACATGCGGGATCAAAGGTAAAGACAGACAGAAGACCGAGACTTGAGTTCGAGACTAGGGTTCCAGAAGTTCAACCAATTGGATATCTGCATGTCTCAGTTTTAAAGGGAAGCAGGAGTGTCGTGAGTTTCTCAATTACTCAGAACGACACAAATTTGGTAATGACGATTTAAACATTTCTTTGTGAAAGGGGTCATTCAGGACTTACCTGTCTTGTCTTCAGTGCTAATATGAATATCCGGAAAATTTAAAAACCTATTAATTAGCACTTGTGCGTGAGTCTTGCTTTACGTGAATACCTCACATTAGATTTTGTCGAATTCTTCTTCTTTATTTTCTAGTGACAGCGATGAAAAACCTCTCAAAGGAAGCCTTCGCTCCCTTAACAGGGATATGCAGGCCACAGAAAGTGCCGACAGCTTAGTCGAGTATGGAGAAGGTGACCACGGTCTATTCAGTGAGGATGGGTCATTTATTGGCGCCTATGCTGGATCTAAGGAGAAAGGATCGGTGGAAAGCAATGGAAGTTCTTCAGCACCATTTCCACTCCGAGCGTAAACGCAGAGCATAGAAACCCCTCAGCGGTGCACACCAGCCTTCCGTATTTATCTGCTTCAAGGGAGCAAGAACTTTTCCTCTAGGAAGAGAAACATTGTGGCAAAAGACTTTAATCCAGAATTCGAACTTCCTGCAGTTGTGTTGAGAACAATAGCACTGCCTTGAAAAAGTAAAATACCTAGCACTACACGCCTTTCTTTTGTTTTTTCAGGTGCTCAAAATGTAGAACACGAAACAAATCCTGTATTTAGATTCACCTCACCTGAATCCAAAGTATCCATCCAGTGAACTCCATAGTTGCCTGGTTTTACTCTTCACTGTGTTTGTTTGCAGAGATGTTGCTACCTTGTGGGTTTTCTGTGTATGCACATGTGTATTCCGTCTCGGAGAACTGTCTTAGTGACTTCGCTTCCTGACAGGTTAAAAGATGGTAAGCAAACTGGTTATTTAAAATGTAAAGAGAATGAATGTCTTACTTAAACAGTTCGTGGAATATATACAGTCTAAATTTATTATTTAAAATTTGAGTAGTAGAGGTCTTAGGTGGACGAGCAACTAGTATTTATTGAGCTCCTAACTCTATGCCCAGAGACGGTCACGCTTAAACAGAATTCTACCTTTTTCAGTTTCAACGTGAATTTGTAATTTCTGTCACTCATCACAGCTACAAGAAACATCTTTGTTTTTTGTGTTTTTGTTTTGGACTCAATTCAGCTGCAAAAGCAGTGGTCAGAAGGTTATCTTGTGAAAGAACAGGCAGGAGGTGTCCGTGATGCTGGGGTCTAAAAACTGGTATCTATTTAATAGCTCCATTTCTAAATTGACTGCTTGTTCCTTTTCGCTATGTTTGTGTAATGGTATGTTCCATATATTTCATGAATGCCTTGTAAATAAATATTATGTTAATATTTACACAATTTAAAATAGAGATTGTTTTATTTTGGAGTGAGAAAAAGAACATTAACAGGCATGTCTGTGCAGCTGGAGAATATAGTAATGCACCATGTTTCATCATTCCAAAGCGCCAACCAATCACATGAGGTTCCCAAACTGAAAACTTTGTACAAAGCCTTTGGATTTTGTTCTTATGTGCTTTTCCCACCGTCTCAAAATAAAATATCATCATATAAATATTGAGGGGAATGATTCCATATTTTTCAAAGTACATTTTTGTTGTTGAGTGTACTCCTACCCCAGCCCCCCCAAAGAAAACCTGTTTACAGTAGAAACGCCTATACATCGGTTTTGCCTGTATCACACTTTAAACATCTTCAGGGGGGGACAGTTTTCCATGTTCGCCTTCTGTCAAAGCCAGTACAAAGTCAGGAAATTTATTTCCTGGCACGTGAGCTACTAGTCCTTCTAAAATTATACATGGAAACGGTTTAGACATACTATGAAGGATGGTGCATGCAGGTCTGTCAGTAAAACTCAGTGTGGAGCTTCTCATTTTACAGAAAACATTTTTAACCTTACCTCAACATTCTTCTTAAGTGTATTTCTTAATTATGTTTAAGTGAAATGGACTCACAGATTTTACTTCATTTTTTGAACTGTACCCATCGGTGTATATTGTTAAACCCTTGACTTTGATGTATGTAGCCCGCTCTTTCTTGTGCACTAAAATGAGGCAGTGTGTATAATGGTCAACGCAATAATCCACATGGAATGTCTATTGATCATTTTAAATCTTGTCTGTCCTCCAAAAGGGATAGGCGGCAAAAGAAGGTCTTACTTAAAACAATACTTTGTGGGCTCAGGACTTGACCACACCCCTGAAGTAAGAATTCCCAAAGTGGGAAGGCACTACTGTGGGGCCTCACCCTGACTCTCAGGGTGCACGCACCCGCCCATCCGGCCCCTTGAGCTTTATCCCCATCTAACTTTAAGGCACAACTTTTCCCAAGGAAGAATCATCATGTTGTGACTTACCTGGGAGGAATTTCGGGTACTCAGCTATCGATGAGGCCAAGGTTAGGACTTCTGACTTTAGTCCCACTAGTATTCCACTTGCTCTTCTTTGTCATCAGCTAAACAAGGTTTCAACGGAATCGTGCAGGATGGACATAATCTCAGAAGTGCATTAGGATTCGATTTATTGTCAATTTAATTACCTTTAAGTTAGTTAGAAGGAAACACAAGTCATGAAAGGTTTGCTTTTCCTAGATCGTAGAGTTCTCCGTTAACTGTGTGAGGAAGAAGGATGTTCCTGCTCATATTTTCTGAACGGCCAAAACTTATGGATTTGAAAAATGAGATTGCTTTCACACTGCCTTTTGCTATCACTCTCTATTACCTTTTCTCGATAGCATGTGGTTTCTGCCGGGAAGCTTCACAGAAGAAAGAGGTCCATGACTAACTTTCTCTAGTCTCCTGTCAATAGGATTTCAATGTAATAGGTTGTATAGAATCTCAAGGCCTGTTGGTGGGGATCAATTCCTAGAGAGCTGTCCAAGGGTTGGGAAAATCCAAGTTCTCTTCCTGGTTCCAGCACTGACTTTGTACATAAACCGTAGACAAGCTGCTTGACCCTGTTTGCTTCAAAACTCTCTCTCTAAAGTGCTAATGATTCTCTCAGTTACCTTCTCTCCGTCACAGGGTGTTCTTTTTTATGAAGAAAAATTTGAACATGATAAAAGCTAAGATGCCTTCTAACTTCATAAACCTATAATCTAATGATATGTCGAAGATCACCCCACACATAACCAACTCAACGTTTTTCCTGTGAACACATAAATATATTTTTATAGAAAAACAAATCTGCAGGAAAGCACTCTACTGTTCCATGAGCAGTATGATTTGCACGTGCCATCAAAAATTATTAATCCGAAGATAATTAAGCAGGGTCTTTGCTATACAAAAGTGTTTTTCACGAATTTTCCATGTGTATTTATAAGAAAATGTGAATTTGGGGGATTTATTCTGTTGGTGTAAAGACATCTGATATTTTAGATGTATCCATGTTTATAAAAGTGTAAAGCACAATGAAATTATGCTGGAATTCTCAAATAATATTTTTCCTACTTTATATTCATGGAAGAGATAAGCTCAAGAGAGAACAAAAATGAGAAATGTTGGTGTGATTTTCTAAGCATTTAAAACATAATTGCCAATTGAAACACTAAAAATGTTTACATGTCATTAAGATATGATTCTTGTAACAATTTTACATTGATTATAAAGGGATCGGGTTTGTAATCTGTGGTCGTATATATCCTAGTGTGCCCATAGTGAAATAAGAAGGGTTGAGCCAGAGCTTCCTTTATATCTTAAATTGTCTGATTACAACACCAAAACAGGTAAAAGGTATGGAGAAACTGGTTTCCCTGATTTTCTGTTGGCTTAGATTAATATTCATAGTAGAACTTGCTTAAAATGTGTTTGTATTGTAGGTGGTGTTTGTATTACACTTATGAATATGTATGGTTTAATAAAATATTTTCAGTATACAAGACATTCAACTTTCCAAATAAACATTCGCCTTCATGTACTCTAAAAACGTTTGTATGCTTTTCTACCCAGATACGAAGAATCAGAATTTACATATCAACCCTAACTTCAGTTGCCTCTGACCCTGGGATATCTATAAATGAAGTATAAATGAGTAGAGCGTAAATGAGGGATGAATACAGGATTTTGATTTGAATGACTGTATTTACAAATGGACCATCTAACATCATGCACATCTACAAACTAATAGGCCAAAAAACTCTGTGTTGATGATAATGTAAAATTAAGATGAATGTACATTCATCTGATTGTTTTTAGAACAATGTGGAAGTGTTGCTTTGCAAGAAAACATCCAATATGCTCTACTTTCACATAAGGCTAGTGGGTAATTGGGGCACTGCCTGTGGCACAGCAGACAATCTATGGACGATTGTGAGTTTTAAACGTGTTTTCTGCGTACTAAGCAGTTTACATACAGTGTATATTTTTTATTCCCTCGCTCCTCTTAGGAATGCTTTAGAAAGGTGAGGTTGAGTTTAAAGCTGACTTATTGATCATGTTTAGAAACTGCTTGGTTTTAAGATAATGTGGTCAGAACATGTAATGGGGGAAAAACAAGCCAAACTATATCTAGAAAACAGCTCACTGTGTGCAACCTAAAAAGCGGTAACTGAAATGGAATGATAAATTTACTACATTGCAAGTCTCCAGGAAGAAAATATGACATCCAAACTTACTGGCTCCTGAAGTTCTTGGGAGACTCAATTCCAGGTCTGTTTCCCACTCTATCGTCTCCCTGAAGTGTCACATCCATCCAAGGCTTTGATTGTCACATGCAGGCCAGTGACTTCAAGGTATTTTTATCCCAGAATTCTTCTTATATCTGAAGTTTTGATGTCTGCTCTCTGATGACTGGGGGAGAAGTGTTTCCAAAGCGAAGGCCAACTGTCCCCTTCCAAAGCTGTTCAGCTCCCACCCACCTCCCCGCTGCCCACCCCCACACCCCACCCCACCCGCCCTGCCCTGCAACTGTTCAGTGATTTGAAGCAACAGCATCCATCCAAGTACTCAAGCCACAAACCTAGGCATCATCCTTCATACCCAGCTTTCTCCTGTCCCCTACACTCAACCTACACTAAATTCTCTTGAGATTATGGCCTCTGTATTTCCTGCATCAGCCCCCTGCTCTGCCCTGCAGTACTCAAGCCACAAACCTAGGCATCATCCTTCATACCCAGCTTTCTCCTGTCCCCTACACTCAACCTACACTAAATTCTCTTGAGATTATGGCCTCTGTATTTCCTGCATCAGCCCCCTGCTCTGCCCTGTGAACACGTTAGCTGGACCACTTTCATCCCTATTCTGATCCCCCAAAATGACTTTCCAGTGCCCTTAAGAGAGGGACAAAAATCTTTAATTGTTCTTCAATAGCCAGCATGGTCAGATTCCTCCTAAGCTGCCAGATCCCATCATATACCACTCTTCCCTTCCTCCCTCCAATCCTGTTACAGTGATTGTATCAAATGCCTCTTATGCCCTGCTTCGGATACTCTGGGTGCTGTCTGCCTTGTAGGAGCCGCTGCTGGAGTGAGCGGCTCTGCATGGACTGACTACAGCTGACTAAAACCAGGTAGAGATTAAGGGCGGCGTGGTGGGGTGCTCATGACGAAACTCTGCCGGCAGGCTTTTTCCCTTGCTACTATGGCATGAGATGCCACGGAACCCTGCTCATGGAGGAAGTAACACCCCGTGGAGAAAAGGTTTACACAGTAAGACAGGGAAACGGGTGGATAGATTCCAACCTTCTCTCTTTTCCCACGTCCCTTCCCACCTCCCTTTCACAGGATGGTCCCATGGATTACAGCAGTCGTTTGCATTTAACAGTGACCAGTGGAATGGTGCATTCTCTATTAATAGTTTCTCACTTTTTCCCTGCCTCATTCTCCCTTTCCCTTAATGCCTCATACTAATTCATGAGGACTGTACTCCCTAATAAATTAGTAGCCCATATCCTGACTGCTGCAGGCTCTGCTGTTAAAGAATTCACGCTAAGACTCATATTTTATCAGCTTCAAGTACCTGGTCAATTTTTTCCTGTCATGAGCCCCGTACAGTTCTTATTTCTTCTTCACAAGATCACTGATCTGTTTTAAAGTGTAATGTCATTTCTTAAGAGACACCTCCCAAGACTTCCATAACTAGGTCAAATCATGCTATTTTAGCGTATCACAACATTACTTACCTCTCATGCTTTGCACTAATCACTGTTGCAGTTTTACTTTTATAGTATGCCTATTTAATTACCATGTCTATTTCTCTGATTAGCAGTTCTATAAGGGTAGGGGCTGCATCTTCTTTTTTACCGGAAACATCAACTGTCTAGTATAGTGTATGAAATCTGATGGACATGTGTTAAATATTTGTTAAATGAATAAAAGAATGAGTCACAAGGAGATATCCCAGCTAATGAATGCACTTGAGAGAAATGCGAGTCCGCAAACATGAAAGAATCTCCATTAGCACCCCTAAACTGTTCTTTCCCTGGGTTTTCTGTCTTCATAAACGACCCCAGTATCCACTGAATGACTCAGGCCAAAAGCCTGAAAGTCATTCCTGGCCTTTCATAGTTCTTCACCACTATTACTACCATCCTAAACCAAGCAAAAGACATCTTTTTCCTAGGGCT